AGGTAGTAAATTGCAAAGCTGTGAAATGAGTTTGCTTCACCAGCGCTTTTTCACTGGGGAGTAACTTGCTTCAGGTTTCTGGGCAGCCTCAAAAAGGCGGTGTGGTGACAGCAAGGAGGGAAGTCGAACAGCACCATCCTGGAGATGAGGGCAGGAAGGTGGCCCACACCATTTGCAGTAGAAAAATGTGTCTGATGAGTTACATTCTAATTCATGGATTTTTCACAAAGCGGGGGGGGAAGCCTTTTACCCTCTTTACTTTTCTCCCCCTGCTTTAATACACAACCAATATCTGGACAGAGAGCACAAATGAGACAATTTTTTTGTTTTTTAGAAAGCAAAGCAGTCACTGGATCCCCTCAAAAATCAGAGGAGAAACGAGGGGAGAAGCGAAAAGCATCTGAGATGGATGACAATGGAAAAAAGGTACAGACAGCTGGACAGCAACCACTTTGGGGTGGGAGGAAGCAGAGGCAGTTGCAATTGTCTGTTCACTTTTGCCTTCCATCTGGAAAAGTCTTTGAAATCTTTCTATAGCAGCACCCTAAATTAAAATGAAACGTAAAGGCAGAAATAGCAGCAACAAGCCCCCTTGTAAAGGAAGCGGGTGGTTGCAGCTCTTCTTTCCTGTCAGCAGAGCTGACATACCTGGGTCTGTCACGCTAACGGCCAGTACTCTCTTCACAAGGTCCTGCTCCACAAAGCGCTGCGATTGCTGAGCAGCTGCTCGTCCTGACCGCTGCCTATGGAAGAGTTGGGAGCTGTAAAAGGAGAGAACTGTCCTTTCTAGCCCATAGTGCAGCAAATTGTAGGAGTGGATTAAGAATCACTGAGCTATAATTTCCTGATAAGCCCGGAGTAGTGATTTTGATGTAAACAGCAGGTCCCCTCCCAGTGCGGTTATGCTCTACTTTACAAGCTGATGCTTCTTAAAGACAAAGCCATTAAGGTGATGTTTACCGGACCACATCAGCATCATCACTAAGGGGAATGACGATTCCCCTTAGCTAGGGAAGCACCGGTCAGCTGTAACATCTGGCTTTCAGAGGACCGGCATGGGTGTTGCTCTTGTGTACGATTTAATGGCAGGCCAAAGAGCAATTTACAGTTATTAGGCACGGGATTAGAACGATAACCTTGGGAACTGTGAATGGACTTGTTCATGCCTCAAAGAGTGCAGTGTAATTTCCAGACCAATCTAATGTTTTTACTAACCTGTGCTTCTCATCCTCTTTCACAATGTGCAGACGCTGCTGGACATATTCACTGGTGTGAAGCTGTACCTGTCACCCTCTGTGAAGGACTTCGACAAAATCCGGCGGTACTTTATAGCGTACGACGGGGATCTCGTGCCAGAGTTTGACACGGCCTCAGCAACGCATGTTATAGGGGACATTGATGAGAATCCTGGTGCTAAGCGTGTGTCTCCCAACTGGATCTGGGAATGCATCCGCAAACGGAGACTGGTAGCCCCGTGCTAGCAGTGTGGGGCAGCTGACCAGTCTTGACACAAGAATTCCCTGAGGGGAGCAGCTGAGAACTAGGTAGGTGGAAGAAATGGCAAGATTCCTCTGTGGAGACATGGATAGAAATGAAATGCCTAAGTCCATCAGAGGTAAAGATCCATAGCAACCATCTGGAATTAATTAAAACAAACTCTCTGAAGAAATGTCACTGCTGAATCCATTTTTCTGCCCATAATGTAGAACAATGCGCTTATCTAGGTGCTGGTTTAGTCTCCTTGGGTTTTTAAAGTTCGGGTATTTTTATAGATAAAGAAATAAAACTGAAGCAGTTTCTCCTTTGCTGTCAGGACTTATTTTCCAAAGGTTATTCTCTGCCTGGACAGGAAAACAGACCACCGAATACCTGAAACTGTTGGCTGTAGTGCCAGGGTAATCTTGCTGCATGGCTACAGTTCACAGGAAGGACACGCATCCTCCTGGGTTGACTTTTCTTTCCTGTCTTCTAACATTCAGCACAGCTCTGTATCCAGTAGCAGTTTACACCTCTGCTGTAGGTTTCATAATAAAACTAGGACACCAAATAAGCTTCCATTACAGGAACTACTGTAGCATTATCCAAGCGTCCTCTTGGAGTGTTTGTTTCGTAGAATATGTTACTCATGTTCTGCTATTCATGTTTCGACAAGTAAAAGCTGAGAAAGGAACTCTACCATCCGGATCTTTTAGGATAATTGAGAGACCTCCTTCTCTGAAGCTGTTCAAAACTATTGCAAGTACTTGAATATTAACAAAATGAGGAAGATAGGTTTTAGAAATAGGGGTTCATTTTAACTTAAGTGTTTTGCAAATGACAATGCACGTGTGCTGAATAACTGCGTGAGCCCTGAAGGTGGAGCTGACCAGTTTACTGGTTCCCGTAGTCTCAAGGGTACAGAGTGTGCTCTCCCCTTTGTAATCTTCACAAAGTTACGATTGCACTGCTAAGAAGTTAGTGGTTTCAGTTAACTTTTTTCCTACAACCCCTACTAACTTGTACCCCACCCTCTAATGACATTTAAGCACCTGGTAGCCCGAGCCTTTTTCTGGTTGAGGTTCAGCTGTAGCTGTAGGATCTCTGCTTTCTCTTAGCCTGTTGGCAACAGAGTCAGAAAACAAGGTTACCTAAATCACATTTCAACTTTATTATAAAACTATAAACCAAACTTCTGTACCAAAACTAGTAAGTTTAACCATCATAGTACCGACAGGATTTAATAGAGAATAACATGCCATTTCAAGTAGAATATTAACTTTTAAAATATTTAAACTCTGTACAGTGTACATAAAGCACATAAATATTTCCATTTACTTTATTAGTTCAGATCATTATATTCCTTTGGATCATTAATCCGTTTTCTCCAGATTTTGATTTTCCTTTAAAAACAACTCCATCATATCCATAGTAGAGAATCCATTTTTGCAAAGGAAACAAACACTGTAGTAAGGAAAAAAAGGAAAAGAAAAAAAAAAAGAGAGAGTCCTCCCTTCAGAAAGCACATTTCAGAGTCAGTTGGTGGGTGTATCTTCTCATTCCTAAAATGTCACACATTGATCTGCAACTTGATTTATCTGCTGTAGAAAATAAGCCTACCCTCTACAAGTAAAAGTACATCTGTCCACAGGGGAATAATCTTCCTGCTCAATTCCCCCAGCCCTGAGTTTATTGAAAAACACAACAACATGAATTTTCACAGTGAATTTACTAAATGAGGCGGTTCAACACTTTGTATGTGTATTCCTGAACCTCTTAAAGATTAAAACAGTTACTGCTTACCTGCCTTTTTTTTTTTTTTTTTTTTTTTAAAATGATGCCTTGAATCGTACCCGTACCTTTTTT